CGCACCCACGAAGCCGGACTCAGTCACCCAAAGCGACATGGCAGGGAAGGTCGCATCTGGCGCGGCGGGCGAGAAAACGGTGGCCAAAATCTTCGAAACTATGGAATATGGACCCGCTCCCGAGGACGACAAAGTAGCCCAGGTAAAACGGAGAGAGAGGTTTTGGTATTTAGACCCGTTGTCATGGCGGTGGAAAGGGTTTAATAGGGAGGAGGAAGACTAGGTGGAAATTCGACCTTGTGGCTCAATTATTACTATTATTTTGTCACTGTTATTCATTACTATTATGCTATGACACGTAAGACTCTATTAAGGAACGTATTGATGACTCCTTTATCTATTATTCTCTATTATCTATTATCCTTCATCTCGAATCACACAGAGAACAACAGATTAAATAAACGTTCTAGGATTTGGAAACATAGAAAAAAAATAGAACGAATTAGTTTTTTTTAAACCTCCTTTTGACATCTTTACTAAAATATCTCTCTTATTATCTCTCTTATTCTTCGCTTTTGGGTTGACGTTTACGCATTTTCTCTCCCTGATAATACGTGTTTAATATGATCTTCGGGTTAAAATCACTCTTATATAACATCTATTGCTGTTGACAAGTAACCCACTGATTTTAAAAAAGGGTTAATGTTGACTTTTTGTTATTTACATTTTTTTGCTTTGTTTGTCTAAGTGTTTTATCATGTGTGTTTGTTTTTCGTGTGAATACCCAGTGTTTTGTGTTTAATAATTTATGCCTGAACTTGTTTGCATTTGTCTTCTGTGATTGTTTGTATTTGAGTGTTTTGTTTGTCTTGAATGTGTTTGTTTCTGTTTTTTTCCTGATAGTTTTTGCTTGTCTTGTGTGTGTGTGTGTGTGTGTGTGTGTGTGTGTGTGTGTGTGTGTGTGTGTGTGTGTGTGTGTGTGTGTGTGTGTGTGTGTGTGTGTGTGTGTGTGTGTGTGTGTTGTGCATGAGTTTGTGGGGGTGTATGTATGTGTACATGTGTGTGTGTGTGTGTGTGTTTTGTGCATATGTGTGTGTGTATGTGTGTGTGTGTGTGTGTACATGTATGTGTTTGTGGGTGTGTGTGTGTGTGTGTGTGTGTGTGTGTGTGTGTGTGTGTGTGTGTGTGTACGTGTGGGTGTGTACGTGTGGGTGTGTATGTATGTGTACATGTGTGTGTGTGTGTGTGTGTGTGTGTGTGTGTGTGTGTGTGTGTGTGTGTGTGTACATGTGTGTGTGTGTGTGTGTGTGTGTGTGTGTATGTGTGTGTGTGTGTGTGTGTGTACATGTGTGTGTGTGTGTGTGTGTGTGTGTGTGTGTGTGTGTGTACATGTGTGTGTACATGTGTGTGTGTGTGTGTGTGTGTGTGTGTGTGTGTGTGTGTGTGTGTGTGTGTGTGTGTGTGTGTGTGTGTACATGTGTGTGTGTGTGTGGTGTACATGTGTGTGTGTGTGTGTGTGTGCATGTGCATGTGTGTGTGTGTGTGTGTGTGTGTGGGTACATATGTGTGTATGTCTTCATCTTCTTCACTTTCTTTTTCTTCTTCTTCAAAAGGAATTGTATGTAATCTTGCTAGTGATAAGGCAGACTTGTTATCACACTGCTATGAATGATTTGCTATTCATGTAACTCAAATAATATGACTGATTTTACATAACATAGTAGGTATTATTTTTTACATTAAAGTACTCTCAAAAAAAAATCTCTCTCTCTCTCTCGCTCTCTCTCTCTTTCTCTTTTCTTTCCTTTTTTTTCTTTGTCTTTTTCCTTTCCCCTTTCTATTTTCTGTTCTCATTATGTCTAAAATATAAATAATTAAAGCAAAAATTCATGAAACATTTACATAAACTACAGACATTTTTATACCATTAACATATATTAATTTTTATCTTTCATCAAACAAAACCTGTCAGTCTTGAAATAAGATTTTCTCTGCTAAATGAGAAACACAGAAAGAGAATAGCTTTTATACAAAGAAAGTGTTGAGTCATCATGTCTTGTCTCCGCATAGTGTTTGAGTCTTATGCTCAGGATCATCTTCATTGTTGGTCACATTGCCAGACTGCCTTATCATGACACTGCTGTGAGGCTCCCAGATTACAGTAAAGGGGGAGAGGGAGGGAGGGGAAGAGAGAGAGAGAGAGAGAGAGAGAGAGGGAGAGGAAGAGAGAGAGAGAGAGAGAGGAAGAGAGAGAGAGAGAGAGAGGAAGAGAGAGAGAGAGAGGAAGAGAGAGAGAGAGAGGGAGGGAGAGGAAGAGAGAGAGAGAGAGGGAAGGAGAGAGAGAGAGAGGGAGAGGAAGAGAGAAAGAGAGAGGGAGGGAGAGGAAGAGAGAGAGAGAGAGAGAGGAAGAGAGAGAGAGAGAGGGGGGGAGGTGAGAGAGAGAGAGAGAGAAAAGAGGTGAGAGAGAGAGAGAGAGAGAGAGAGAGAGAGAGAGAGAGAGAGAGAGAGAGAGAGAGAGAGAGAGAGAGAGAGAGAGAGAGAGAGAGAAGAGGTGAGAGAGAAAAGAAGTGAGAGAGAGAGAGAAAAGAGGTGAGAGAGAGAGAGAGAGAAAAGAGGTGAGAGAGAGAGAGAGAGAAAAGAGGTGAGAGAGAGAGAGAGAGAGAAGAGGTGAGAGAGAGAGAGAGAGAGAAGAGGTGAGAGAGAGAGAAGAGAGAGAGAGAGAGAGAGAGAGAGAGAGAGAGAGAGAGAGAGAGAGAGAGGGAAAAGAGGTGAGAGAGAGAGAGAGAGAGAGAGAGAGAGAGAGAGAGAGAGAGAGAGAGAGAGGGGGGGAAAAGAGGTGAGAGAGAGAGAGAGAGAAAAGAGGTGAGAGAGAGAGAGAGAGAGGGAAAAGAGGAGAGAGAGAGAGAGGGAAAAGAGGTGAGAGAGAGAGAGGGAAAAGAGGTGAGAGAGAGAGAGGGAAAAGAGGTGAGAGAGAGAGAGAGAGAAAAGAGGTGAGAGAGAGAGAGAGAGAGAGAGAGAGAGAGAGAGAGAGAGAGAGAGAGAGAGAGAGAGAGAGAGAGAGAGAGAGAGAGAGAGAGAGAGAGAGAGAGAGAGAGGGAAAAGAGGTGAGAGAGAGAGGAGAGAGAGAGAGAGAGAGAGAGAGAGAGAGAGAGAGAGAGAGAGAGAGAGAGAGAGAGGGAAAAGAGGTGAGAGAGAGAGAGAGAGAGAGAGAGAGAGAGAGAGAGAGAGAGAGGGAAAAGAGGTGAAAGAGAGAGTGAGAGAGAGAGAGAGAGAGAGAGAGAGAGAGAGAGAGAGAGAGAGAGAGAGAGAGAGAGAGAGAGGGAAAAGAGGTGGGAGAGAGAGAGAGAGAGAGAGGGAAAAGAGGTGAGAGAGAGAGAGAGAGAGAGAGAGAGAGAGAGAGAGAGAGAGAGAGAGAGAGAGAGAGAGAGAGAGAGAGAGAGGGAAAAGAGGTGAAAGAGAGAGTGAGAGAGAGAGAGAGAGAGAGAGAGAGAGAGAGAGAGAGAGAGAGAGAGAGAGAGAGAGAGAGAGAGAGAGAGAGAGAGAGAGGAGAGAGAGAGAGAGGAGAGAGAGAGAGAGAGAGAGAGAGAGAGAGAGAGAGAGAGAGAGAGAGAGAGAGAGAGAGAGAGAGAGAGAGAGAGAGTGAGGGAGAGAGAGAGAGAAAAAGAGGGAGGGTGAGAGAGAGAGAGAGAGAAAGCAAGGTTATGAGAGATAGAGAGCAAGGGTAAAAGAGAGAGAAAGAGAGGGAGAATGTGTGTGTGTTGTAGAACTTTTTTTGTGTGTATCTACCTATAAGTCCTATTTATATTATTGCTATAAAATTTAATTAGACATTCTTTCTAAACATTTAGAGGACATTTTAGGTTTATATATTGGAGAGTATGCTAATGATCTTATTGATGATTCATGAATAAAATTCTTTATATATGTCAATGCATTCTTCACTTAGTATTCAGATTGTTCACATAAGAAAACCAAGAAGGCCAGAATTGAAAGGTGTAAAGGACTCTACATACTTAAGTCCATCATGTTATTTTTATTATTATTGTGACCTTGCTTCTTCTCTGAAACAGGCATGGCTGGATGACCATGGCCGCAAGTTTGGCCACTTCATCAATAACCAGTGGGTGTGTCCAGAAGGCCGTAAGACATATGAGACTAAAGATCCATGCAATGACAAGGTGCTGGCCTCGACCATCCAAGGGACCCAGGAAGATGTTGACCAGGCTGTAGGTGCAGCCAAGGAAGCATTTCAGTCGTGGAGTTCCTTATCTGGCCATGCAAGGGCTCGTTACCTGTACAGGTGAGAATACTACTGTTTACTATTTTTTTCATATTGTTTAGAAGTAATCGTGTTTGATATGGTGCAGCGTGTTACTTAATGAACATTTTAAAAACTGTACAAAACCTCTTGGTATTCCTCTTCTTCCTAAACCTCTTCCTCAATTCCCAGCATTGCCCGCCATATCCAGAAGCACTCCCGCCTCTTAGCTGTTGTAGAGTCTCTGGACAATGGCAAGACCATCCGAGAGACCCGCGATTGCGACATTCCCCTTGTGGTGCGCCATCTCTACTACCACGCAGGATGGGCACAGTTAATGGACTCCGAGATGAAGGGGTGGAAGCCCGTTGGTGAGTCTTTAGTTAGGGATTTTTCTGTTTGGATGTTAGTTACTGATGTTGGCATTGATTAGCATTTTCCCAAATTTGTTTGGATTTCACAATTATGCCTAATAAATATTTGTAATTTTCAAGTGCCCATCTGTTACTCCAAACCTCAATACTGACCTTTTCTATCATCTATTTGGAAACACAGTAGCAACCACCTTGATATAAAAATTTTTACTTATTCATCTCTCTTGATCTTTCATTTATTTGAAAAGAAAAAAAAAGGTAAATGAAAATTTTCTGTACAAGTAACAATATTCCTGTCAGGTAAAATATTCTCTCTTCCTCTTTCTCCAGGTGTGGTTGGTGCGATCGTTCCATGGAACTTCCCGGTGATGTTGTTGGCATGGAAAGTGTGTCCTGCCTTAGCTATGGGGAACACTGTGGTCCTGAAACCGGCCACAAACACCCGCCTCTCTGCTTTGCTCTTTGCCGAAATTTGCGCTGAGGCTGGGTAAGTCTCTGGTTCTAAGGCTCAGGCTATATTCAATATTGATTACCCAGGAGGTCAAAGATGAATTTGGAATTTGTACGAACAGTAACTTCTCTTGAGCAATAGGGGCAGCGGTTCCCAGCCTAGAAGTCAAGGGGCCATTGGATACTTTCTAGGGGCCCGTGAAACAATATAAAAATTATGACTTCAAATTAAACTGAATTTTGTCTTTCCTACAGCACCTACAGAGATTTTTCATAACTAGTATTAACTGAATCTGAAAAGTTGACAGGCATTGAACAGGGCCATGGGCATTATTATATATTGGTCGGAGGCCACAGAATAGAAGAGAATAGAAAAGGTTGGGAACAACTGCTGTAGGGTCTTGAGAAGAAAGATTTGTTACATGTATGTAATGGCAGATCAGTATGGGGGCTAATTCCTAGTGTTTAGCAATGTTTTATATATTTTCCATCTATACCCACTGTAGAACCTCATCCTCCTCTTTCCCCTCATGTAAAATTTTCCAGAGGTGTCAGTGCTTGTAAGTGCTTTAGTATTAGAAGTGATGGACTTTTTCATACTGGTGAAAAATAATCCAAGATCTCCACCATCCTTAGCTTGCCATAACTGAATTTCATGCTTCTTCCCAGCCTCCCCAAAGGAGTCTTCAACGTGGTGACCGGAGGAGGAGCCATGGGATCCCTCCTTGCCACACATCCTGATGTCGACAAAGTAGGGTTCACTGGATCTACGGAGGTCGGTCAGATTCTTAGAAGGGCTACTGCAGGCACGGGCAAGAAGCTGTCCCTTGGTGGGTACCTTGTTGCTCATTGTTGCTTATTGTTTTCCTCTTGTGTGTGTTTTTGATTGTTTTTTTAATTAGTTTGGGAGGGTATTATGCTTGCTTCTTCTGTTCCTTGATTTATTTTTAGTAAAATATTCATTTTATGTTTAGTGCTGTTGTGATGCATTAGTTGAGAAATAAGACAAGTGAAGGAAACCCTGTTTTTTTGCATTCTTCAAATTGAAAGATGTACCTTTGAAATGATTTTCTTTCTTTCTCCTTTACTTTCTTTTTCTTTTACATATCTCTACCATTCCCACAACAGAACTTGGTGGCAAGAGCCCTGTTATTGTGTTTGAATCAGCTGACCTCGATTCTGCTGTTGAGGGTGTTGTTGATGCAATCTGGTTCAATCAGGGTCAAGTAAGTTGCAAAATGAAATAAATCATAAAATGGAATGTTGTGAAATGGGGAGAAGGTTGTTATTGTATATTATTGGTATACACTAATTTGTTTACACCTCATGATGTGTATTGAGGTGTTAAGGTTTGAGAAAAGAATTATTCCTTATGTATTCTTTTCTATTTCAAAACTCTGCAGGTCTGTTCTGCAGGCTCACGTCTCCTTGTTCAAGAGCCTGTCTATGACAAGTTTATTGATAAGTTGAAGCGAAGGATGGAGAAGATGCGCTTGGGATCTTCTCTCGATAAGGGCTACGACATGGGGGCCATTATTGATCCTTGCCAGAAGAAATTTATTGCAGAATATGTTGAAGATGCTAGAAAAGAAGGAGCGGAGGTGAGATGCTTTTAGAGAAGTTCATACTCCTTTCTTTTCTTTTTCTTTCTTTCTTTCTTTCTTTCTTTCTTTCTTTCTTTCTTTCTTTCTTTCTTTCTTTCTTTCTTTCTTTCTTTCTTTCTTTCTTTTCTTTTCTTTTTCTTTTTCTTATTTTCTCTCTAAGTCTCTACTTCCCTTCTTCCCATCTTTTCTTCCCCTTTTCTTCTTTACAAATTTTCCTGCCCTCATTTCTTTTCTCTTTCGTTCTCCTCACTCGTCTCTTTCTTCCTCCATTCCTGACTGTCCATCTCCCTGTCCTTCATATTCCTCCATTTTCTCCCCCTTCTAACCCTACCTGATAGTCTAGAATTTAAGTTCAAACACAAAACATATAAATCTGTTTCTCTTCTTTTCCTTTTCACTTCTGTTTCATAATCTCCATCATCCTCTTCTTCTAGACAAGGAAGACAACACCAGCTCAACCTCCTTCAGTACAGTTCTTGTTTTTTCATAGGTGTTCCAAGTAGAGGCCCCCCCTGGCTGCTTTTACCCACCAACCCTGATCACCGAAGTTGGCACCACGTCGAAAACTGTTGTGGAAGAGATCTTTGGTCCTGTGCTAGTTGCTATGCCCTTTAGGTATTTTATCTAGTTATTGCAATTATTCTAATTTTTTTAAGAGTGTATTTCATGGTTGGACTAAATTATTAGTTTTGTGATAGTGATGTTGCTAAGAAATGTGTGTAGAAGTCATATGTTGTATGTCAGAAATTAATTAGAATTTCATAGTATTTCATTGATTTATAATTGAGGAACATCATAGCAAGCAAAAAATATACATATATCTGGTAGGATTTAAAATCGGTTTAATTTTTGTTTTTGCTCTCATTTTAATATTGCTTCCCGAAATTCTTATCCATATAAGAAATTTCAGTTCTTCTCTTTGCTTCCAGAACTGCTAAGGAAGCCATTGCACTTGCCAACAACACCATCTATGGCTTAGGTTCATCTGTATTTACAGAACAAATGACCTTGGCCATTGAGACAGCCAAGATGATAAAGGTATGGTGAAGAATTGTTTTTATGTTGTATAAAGCCTATTAAATGAAGTATTTTAATTAATAAAATTTGCATTGATAAAATGCTACAAACATAGGGAATGCAGTGTTTAGAGAATGAAGTCTATTAGTGAAATTGTTATTAATAGAGGTAATATTAGTAATGTATTAGTAAGAGTAGAAATAATTTGTTATTATTATTATTAATAACTTATGCTTAACCTTCTTATTGTCTACGAAAAAAAAGATCTTGTGCATCTCAGGATAGAAAGTAACAGCAATAAGTGATGATAACAACAATGATAAAAGGAAGTGCAGTATACAGTATGTATCATAGAATAAATGTGCATGCGAATATGTAAGCATAAGTTATATAACTCCTGTCTCTGAATTGAATGTAGGCTGGGGCTGTGTGGATCAATTGCCACAACATGTTTGATGCTGCAGCAGGATTTGGGGGATATAAGCAGAGTGGCTATGGCAGAGATGGAGGGAAGGAGGGTAAGTGAGAAGCCCTAACCAACACCATTGTTCTGTTGTGGCAAGAAAGAGGCTCTTGAGAATCCTTTTGGGGGAAACATAATTTTGTAGTAGCAGGGAAGGGATGTGGCTAACTCATCTTATGTTTAGTGCTATTGTGATGCATTAGTTGAGAAATAAGACAAGTGAAGGAAACCCTGTTTAATATCAGGAAGTAATAAATCCTCTTTAATATCCCCTTAGAAGTTAGTTACACATTCAATGATATCACTGTCAAAGTCATTTCAATAATGAAATAGTGTGTTTATTTTGAGGTGATAAATTCCCTCCTTTTCTTCTATTTCAGGACTCTTCGAATATGTCAAACCATCATGGCAAGGGCGTTTGAGCTTTGTCCCACCTGAGATTGACCTTAAGAAGTTTGGTGCTTCATACACAGCAGATCGTCCATCTCTCAACCCAGCCATACCGGAGGTAAAGCATTTTAGGGATGTCTTCTTGAGCATGATGTGATAGGTTTTTTATTTTATTCAAGTGGGTGTATGCAGGATTGTTTGTGTTTGTGAACCATATTTTTTATTGAATAGCATAAGCAATAAAGGCTCACTAGGTGTTTAACATTGCAGATTGTTAGTGGAGATAAAACTTTACCCCTTATTGATAAAACGTACAAACTCTACTATGGTGGTGCTCAAAAACGGCCTGATGGAAACTACTGTCGTGTCATCAAAAATGCTGAAGGAAAAGCCTATGCCCTTGTTGGTGAAAGTAACAGGCAAGTGACTGTTTGGTTTTCTTCATCTTCAAAATGCTTTTCTTTGAATAAGTGTATCCCCTATATTAATTTTTATTCACTTTCTATTTATTTATCTTTCTTTTCTGTCACAGGAAAGATGTCCGTAATGCAGTGGAAGCTGCAGCCAAGGCCCAGCCAGGATGGGATAAGCGCAGTGGATTCAACCGTTCGCAGATCCTCTTCTACTTGGCAGAAAACCTGGAGCAGCGCCGCCAAGAGTTTGTAGACCACCTCACAGTTCTGACTGGGAAGAGCACCACGGAGTCGGAGAAGGAAGTGGATGCAACCTTGGCCCGTCTCTTCCACTGGGCAGCCTTCTGTGACAAGTATGGGGGAGCTGTGCAGGAGACGCAGCTCTACGGGACGGTGCTGAGGATCCATGAGCCTCTTGGAGTGATTGGGGTGGCATGTCCGGATGAAGCTCCTCTCTTAGGGTTCATCTCCCTCATAGCTCCTGCTATTGCCAGGGGGAATGCTGTGGTTGTCGTTCCCAGTGAGAAGTATCCCACTATTGCTCTGGCTTTGTATCAGGTGGGTACAATTAAAGTTCTGATCTTTCTAGTGTCCAGAACCACTGAACTGATTTCCAGTGAAATTTATTTCATTTCATAAAGTGTTACTACATGTCTTGTTTCTTATTTATCTTTCAAAGATTTTCATTATCATCAAACAGTAAAATATTATCTTTTCAATTATTTTTTAATGCTAAAAAAGACCCTTGAATTTTATTTGTAATTTTATTTATTTTAGTTTAATTTGTCTCTGGAATCTAAAAAAATATTTTATGCCTAATTACTGGTCATGAAGAAAAAGCATAAAATAATATTATTTCAAGTACAATTATACAGAATACAAAAGAATAAAGCTCTTGAATAATTAGTATATATGATGGAAATATAAAGTCAACTTTTTATCCCAGAATAGCATTGTATGCAGCTTGATCAAGCCCTATCTTTTTTTCCCCCTGAATAGGTCCTATGTACCCTATATACCCCAGATATGTGATTCTCTCTTTCCACAGGTGCTGGAAACCTCTGATCTTCCTGGAGGAGTAATCAACATTTTGACTGGGGCCCGTGACCACGTAGCCAAGTATTTGGCAGAGCATCAGGATCTCCAGTCCATGTGGTAAGTCAGTGGATTTTGAAATTAATTAACCAGCACTGTTGTTGGATTTCTGTGGTTATTCATTTTAGGAAGTCGTATGATATTTATACATAGAGATATGATTGTGTATTATTGATATGCATTAGTATCCATGCTAATATAATTAACCCTAGTATATAAAATTATTAGATTAGAATGGAAATATCATTTTTGCATTTGTTATTTTTTCTTGTGTGTTTGTTTTTGTTGATTCAACTTATGGCGTGAAAATACCACTACACTCTCAAGCTGCAAAATAAAACTTGTCATAATTCATTGCCAGGTATTTTGGAAGCCTAGAAGGGTCCAAGTTTGTAGAGCACACATCAGCTGTGAACGTCAAGAGGACTTGGGTTAACTACGGCACGAAGCGGGACTGGTTCGACGCGGAGCAAGGCCAAGGAGAAGAGTTCCTGTATCATGCCGTTCAGGCCAAGAACATCTGGCTTACTATGGGGGATATCTTTGCAAATTAGAGGAGGGAGCAGGCAGGAGGGAGGATCCATTGCGTCGTAAGGTTTAGCATGACACCCAGTGCTTCTGTGGGGGGGGGGGGGATAAAAAGTGTAATCTTGAAATAGTGCCTTATGGAGATTCTTTTTCCAATAATGCCTCTTTTGTCAACAACTACTTTTTTCTCTTATGGTTTTGTTATCCTGTAATTTGTTCCTATATTCAGATAAGATTTCCAGTGGATTAAGTGTTTAAATAACATTAGACATTTTGGTTTATTTACATTTTACAAAGGTTTAACCCATTATTCCACTCAATAGACTAGATATACTCTTATATTGCATTTTACATCTTAAATTTCTTTATTATTTTTATATATTTCTGACTACGAATTTAATCCGTAAAAGTCAGGAAATATCAGAAAGACCATTTTTGTCAATAGTTTCTCAAACTATTCAGAGATTGTGCCATATTTTGATAAGAAGACAAATAAAGGAAAACTATGTATTAGAAAAAGAAATCTTCAGAACATACATTATTTTAGACATATTATATGTTGGTTATGTCATAGTATATTAGCAGTAGTAAATGTAAAAGTATTAATTATGTAAAAAGGAACATTCCATTGTTTTGGTTATTTTCAAAATGCCAGTCACAAGTAGATTTACTAAATAGAATTTTGTGTTATATAATTTTTATATTTTCTACATCAATACAATATAATGTGGATACAAGGCAAACCAAAATATTTTTTAACACATTGCTGTGAAGACATGGTAATGAAAGGTTAAAGATGGTAATAAATCAAATTTTTCATGCTTTAAACTTTTTGGTGAGCCAAGTTTCAGTCTTTTCCATTTGTAATTTGTTCCTTTTTGTTTGGAATAGAAATTGGTATCATCATTTACAGTAAGCAAGAACTGGAGAATGGGAGCATTTCTCATTAGAAATAATTATTTTGATATGGAGATACTGTCATCTTTTCAAAACAATTTATTTCATATGTAAAGTGGTCAAATAGTTTGAATTAAAGTTATTAAAGGTTAAGTCCATTTATTTATTTATATTCCTTAGTCAGACTTGACATCACACTGCTTGGATTTTGATACTGTAGAGAAGGATTTTGTTAGTCTTCCAGGGTTTTTTTTACCTGATGATTTCTATGGGAAGGGGTATACTCTCGAATTTCCTTGCCATATTTATCAAGCAAGGAAGAAGCTTGCCAGAAAGAAGAGGATGCAGTACTGCAGTATATCTTAGATCGAATAAGGGATTTCTTCCTTATGTACTGTAATTTGAGGTATTGCTGATTCATAGAATTTGTATTCCTGTAGCTAGAACAGGATGAATTACCTAATGTAAGGAGTGATAAATATTAACTAGAGAGTGATATAGATTAAATCCTGGTCACTATTTTAAGAACTCTTGAATCATTTACTTTTCTTGCTGTGAAGTTTATAGATGGAAAGAATAGTATTAAATGCTTTTGTTTGGTTTATTTCCACAAACACTGGTTTGTTCAATATACATATAATACAAATACTTACAAATAACAGGTGAATAGAAATATACCATACATATGCAAAATATCCATGTGTATGGCAAAAACAGCTTACATGTAGCTGGAGCCGACTAGATCATCCCAGCACAACACCACAGTCAACCAATTTGACACTAGTAACATCTTCCATCTTCGTGGCCGAGATGAACACGTCGAGGCCACTCTCCACCCGTCCGTACGCCGTGGGGAACTCCGAATTAGCCTTGCCCTTCGTGCAGACGCAGAAGAGGCCAAACCCTTCGGATCCCTTCGTCACATCTTCGGGCAGACCAAAGACGAGTCCTGGAGAAGCTGTGCGGTCGACACGCTTATCAAAGGGCAGATAAGGGGGTCCTCCTGCACCAGAAAAACGTCCTCCGACAATGAACTCGCCGGGACTGTTTTGGTTGACGACCTTCCGCAGGATGGAGCCGGTGTAAGAACGACCCAACTGGCCCGTGCACAGGATAACGTAGTGACGGCCCCGAACGCTCACCGGGTTCAGGCGGATGAAGACCCGACGCGCAGGAGAGTCAGAAAGGGCGATGTCCAGGAAAGTCAGTGTGTTGACTTCGTTCATCTGCTTCAGGGCATCGTCGTACTGAAGGATAAATATAACAATATTAAAATCAGTTTTAATCCCCAGTATCTCAAGTCAGGCTATGGATAAAGCAAATTTTCTGATAACTATATGAAGAAGAGAACACGAATATAATAGAGATAATTACCTGCAGAATACAAGCTCCTTCGGGAGGAGTATCTTCTGCGAGGCCGTGAAGAAGAACCTTTCCGTCTTCTTGTAGACTAACTTTGGCAAAGAGACGCTGGCTGTCTAGGAACTTCGTCGCATACACTAAGTTAGCTTTCAGCAGACCCTTTAAATGCATGTTCGGTTTGCGAAGGTCCTCGGCCTGTAAGTGATAATAAAACAATGAGAATTCAGGGTTTTTTGATGCCAAATATACTATTCATTAAGAGTATTAGAAACACCTTCGTAAAAATCTACTAATATTAGATAAACTCCGAAATAAAGCATGCTTACCGTAAATCTCATGCTAGCAAACTCGGCAATGTAGTCGACCTTCGTTTTGAGGTTATAATCGTTGTCTGCCAAGTACACGGGGATACAACCATCGTCGTGTATTTTCTTATATAGGGAGTGCAAAGGGACACATCGATCTCCATGCAGCCCTCCATACATGATCTTCAGAGCCTTTTCAATGAGCATCCGAACCTGCGAAAGTATTAGCTTCGGTAATTCAAGTGGTTTTAAAACGAACTAGTTTAAACATTAGATTATTGACTGAAAACATATCAAAGAGTAACTACAAAATAAAAAGTACGCCCTACCTTGAATGACCTATGCACAGACTTGATGTTGGGAAACTTCTCTCGACACTGTTGGTGCCACTCTTCCGCAACAACTTGGCACTGATCGGCATTGCCAATGGCTGTCACCACTTCCTGAGCTGTTTCCACGGTCGAGAGCATCTCCTTGGCCTTTCCCAACCGCAATCGATGTTCTTCTCCTTCCTTCTTTAATTCACGCAAATTGCTCCTTTCTTCTGCTATCATCTGTATCGCCTCTTCACTCGGCTTGATCATAAGTCTTGTAATACTTTCGAGAAGAGCCCGGTGTTCAGTGTCCCATTGACTTAGGGTATTAGTGTAGTCCGTCAGCTCTTTCGCCATGGAGCAGCAGGCGTCCTCCACGGATTTCAGTCCTTCCTTCTGCTCTTCTCTCAGCGAGGTTAGTTTCTTGCTGATGGCCTTCCCTGTGTAAAAGCTGGATTCTAGGGAAGTTGTATCCGGCGTGGCTACTACAGGTTCCTCTGGCTTGCTCACGTTACTGTCTCCAATGAGTTCTTCTATAAGGAGGGCGACAGGGAACTGTGTGATATCCGGGGCGTTGTGTTCTACTTGGCAAATGTGGCAGGCTAAAGAACCGTCTTTTAGAAGTTCCCCGAGACAACACGAGCAGAACGTGTGGCCGCAGGGTATGTAGCGAGGTCTCTTGTCTTCTTTGTTAAACTTCATGAGGCAAACCTTGCATTCCTGTTGGTTCACAACATTATTAGTAATATAGTGTGCACCGTAAGATCATATATCATTTGCAGATTTATTTTAATTTCATGAATAAATGGAAGATATACTAATGTAGCGAATCAAGTACTTACCATTTTGCTAAGAGAAGTAGGATGTATGACAATTCAAATCGTCAGTGTTGAGGAAGAGCGGAAGTTACGATGCCTCTGGAAAAATAAGGTAAGTATCATATATTGTATAAGCAACTCCTGAAGCACTAATACATGAATTTCTTCAGTATATTAATATAAAATTAAATAAAAGCAAGCACACACGACAATCTTCAAAGCAAACCAACATATCTTACCTGTTGCTTGAACTAATTATTCACACAGCACTTTGCTCACAATGACACTAGCTTGCAAGTGAGGTACAGTCATGAGGGTTATCCACTCTATATACAGGCGACACTAACAAGCGCCTGAACTTAGCAATGAGGGGACGTGTTGGGAATGAGGTGGGGGAAGGGGCGTGGGGACCGAGGCATGCCCAAGCGTACCAGAAATGTGTGGCGACAACGCTTGTTATTGTTGATTGTATTATTTGGTCATATATATATATATATATATATATATATATATATATATATATATATATATATATATATATATATATATATATACATATATATACATGTATATACATGTATATACATGTATATACATATATTAAATATATATATATACATGTATATATACATATATATATATATATATATATATATATATATATATATATATATATATATATATATATATATATATATATATATATATATATATATACATGTATATACATGTATATACATATATTACATATATTACATATATATATATATAT